GGGAAGGGCGACCCGGGGGACGTGAAGCCGGAGCCCACTGAACGGAGGGAGTGGGCATGTGGGTAGGGGGGGCTAGGTGGTCGCAGAGGTGGGGGGGGGGGAATGCTAGGCGGTCGCATAGGTAGGGGGGGCTAGGGGCTCGCAGAGGTGGGGCAGGGGGCTAGGCGCTCGCAGAGGTGGGGGGGGGCTAGGCGCTCGCAGAAGTGGGGGGGGGCTAGGCGCTCGCAGAGGTAGGGGGGGAGCAAGGCCATGGAGTGCTATGACGATGAGAACCAGGATCTTGAACTGTATCCTCTGTGTGAGGGGGAAGCCAGTGGAGTCGGGTGAGGATGGGGGTGAAAGGGTCATGGAACCTGGTGTGGGAGAGGACATGAGCTGCAAAGTTCTGGATGATCTGCAGCCTATGGAGGAAGGAATTGGGCAGTCCAACAAGCAGGGAGTTGGCATAGTCAAGCCTGGATGTTATGAATGCAAGCATGAGACATCTCGAAGACATGATGAGGCACTATATCAAATGCCAGGATTATTATTATTATTTAAAACAAAGTGGTTTTGTCAAATGGGCACTCTTGGAGTAATTTTAAGCTTTAAAAGTTCAAAGTCTTTTCGAAAACAAACGAATCAGCGATTTAATTTTGAGTAATGATGGTACAATATCGCCATTCATTAATTTCAGTGGATTAAAAGTTAATAAATACAGTGCAGGTAGTGAATAGGCCAAACGCCTCACTTAAAAAAATCTTTGTGTAATTATTTTGTGTACATATCGTAAATAGCTGCTGTGACTATTGTGGATGTGGAAAAATTCCAAGGGAACTTCTGCTTACAGTAGATGCTGATTGTTTCAACCACAACAAAAAGTGAAATCATGTTACAACAACAGAGAGAGCTGATATAACTCAGCAGGTCAGGCAGCATCTATGGAGAAAGGAAAGTGAGTCAACATTTCAGGTCCACGACCCTTCATCAGAACGTCATTGGGTTCTGACGAAAGGTCGTGGACCCGAAATGTTGACTCTCTTTCCTTTCTCCATCGATGCTGTCTGACCTGCTGAGTTTTCGCAGCTCTCTCTATTTTTGTTTCAGATTTCAGCATCTGCAGCATTTTGTGTTTTGTTCATGAGTGAAATCCTGCTGATGGGCAATCAATCGGATTTATCAATCGGATAAAGTCATGTACTACTGTTTTAGCCCTTTACATAGAAAAAAGGAAAATCTAAAGAAAGACTGGGCACGTCAACAAAGGAAGGCCTTTTTCCAAAGTAGTACTGCTTTGAATATTTCTACAGAAAAGCATTTGTGCTAACCTGAGTTAACTCAAACTGGACAACATCTGGTTAAATAAGAATTCACAGGATGATTTTTTTAGGTCATCATTACAAATGCAATTGCTTGCGCTCTTTCCTGAACAATGGTAAATTGAAATTTTTACACAGGCTGTCTGAATCTTAAGCCTGAAGCTATGACAACAGGAAGTCTGAAAATAATAAACAGCAAGTCAAGCAGCATCTATGGAGAAAGGAAAGTGAGCTTGACCTGCTGAGTGTTCCCAGCAACTTCTGTTTATTATTTTCAGAATTCCAGCATCTGCAGTATTTTGCATTTAGTCTAAAGATAATGTTGCAGGCTAACACAAATATGTTATTCAATTGCTGAAGTTGAAAGTATGATTTTATACTATATCTCCAGCACTGTCATCAGTCCTGTATCACTAATATTAAAGTCAGAATTTTTTGCATACAACAGCAAAATCACATTTATATAGCGCCTTTCACATCAGGAGGACATCCCAAAGCACCGGACACTTGTATTACTAAGTGATGTTTTTGCTGGAATATGTGAAATTGTTCCCCTCATCTAATAATAATCCTTGCATTTGATATGCAACAACAACAGTCCATTTGTATTATGCCTTATCATGTCATTGAGATGTCTCAAAGTGCTTCACAGAACATAATGTAGAGTGAATTGACTGTAGATTTTGTGGGCAAAATCTAACTTTGTTTCTTTTACCAGACAGTTCAGGAACTTCAAGGTTACTGAGTTTTGGAATGTAACTATGAGCAGAAGGTAATACTGAGTAACTTTGCTGGTGCAATGGACAGATTTTTAGGGAAAGAAATCAAGAAATGTTATTTGTTTTAATTTTTAAGTCTCAGTTAATTCAGGATTTGCTTTGGCAAACAACTATTTCACAAACTTGTGGTAGCCGTGTGTCAGTGCTGAAGTCTAACTATTGAGAAACTGGGAGCAAATAATGCTGCTATTGATGAAGTCCAACTTCAATTCATATTTCATCAGTTAGTTGTTAATAAGGATGACAAGAATTTCTGCAACCAAGTCATACTTCCTAATATATAGTATTCCCAAAATTGTCAGTCTTGTGAGCCTAAAAAAAATACTTGAAAGTGTTTCCTTCACTTATAGGAATGTGGTGGGTTTTGATTTTTCCCAGTGACACCCAGCTCCACCTCTCCACTTGCTGGAGTCCTGTAGCTCAGTGGTTGGAGCACTCGCTTTGCAAGCGAGAGACCTGAGTTCAATTCCAGGCAGAGGGCGAAACCTTGGGCAAGTTTCCTTACTCCACACAGAGCCTAATAATAATCCCTCCAAAAACCAAAAACAATAATAAATTGGTCATTTTCAATCTACGACTGTTTGTGGGACATTGCTGTGTGCAATTGGCTGCCGCGTTCGCCCACAAATGTACAGTCAATTCACTTTACAATGTGTTCTGTGAAGCGCTTTGGGACATCCTCCCGACGTGAAAAGTGCCATATCAAATGCAAGGATTATTATTATTATTACACTCTCAATTCCAGGAATGCTACAATTCTGACTGAAAATGTGCCAGACACAAATCCTGGTTGAGCTTTAACTTCATTTCAGCCAAAGGTATCTTGTTTGGTGCTCAATAGAACCTTCTTCCTTTAACTTCCTTAGCTTCAACTCCATTAACCTCCCTTTCTACTAACTCTTAATGAGTCAGTGCAGAACCCTGTAGTCCTGCTTGACACCCATCTCTGCTACAAAACCTTATATCCAAGGCTTTGACCAAAACCCACTTTTTTTTTTAAAATGCACAAAACACTGCATTCCCATCTCACTCCTCCTATACCAATCCTGATAGATTGCTCATTCCTCACTCCTGTGTCTCAGGGAGTGCAGTGCCCAAGTTAACAGCCAATAGCCATCTGGAACTTTCTTCCAAAATCGTTTTACCTCACTTCCGTGCTCTCTGCCTCAGAAAAAGCCTCTTAAAACATTTTTCCCCATGCTTTTGGTCAACATTCCCAACCCTGCCTCTGGGTGCTCTCTAACAAATATTAAGCACTTGAAGATGATCATTCCAGCTGACAAGCACTATATCAGTGCATGCTGTTGTTCCTAAATAGGTCACAGGGTGAAAAATCTCCCAGTATCATTATGCATTGCAAAATCAACATCTACTGCTCCACATTCGTGGAGCAAATTCATTCACAGTAAATTTATCTGCAACCTCCATCGGATGCCTCCTCCTCCTACGGAGAACTTGCTTGTGTTGAGAATATCTCAGTCACTGCAATACAGAATGACGTAGCGCAGAAATGGTTCATTTGGCCCAACGAGTCTGCACTGATGCTTTTCTCATTTTCCACATAATCTCACTGTCCTGCTCAATTCTCATACCCTTTAATATTCCTCCTTTCCAACTATATAGCCAATCCTCCTTTTCAAGAATCATGGACTCTGCTTCAACAACAATCTGTGGCAGAAGTCCAAAGTCAAACTGCCATCTGCAAAAAAGAAATTCATTCTAACCTCTCCTTACATTATTTTTATAATTATTTCATGAATATAATTCCCATTCGTAAATTATATCTATGTCCTTGCTAATTCCGGCACTAGTTTATTTGAAATGGAAGTCTGCTATGTTCTCACAACTCAAACTACATCATCTGACAGTCTAAATAAACCACATTTCTGTTACTTTCATACGTGTCTGCTAAGCATCTGAATCAACAACAAAATTACATTTGTATAGCGTCTTTCATGTCGGGAGGACGTCCCAAGGAGCTGGACAGTTAGTGTTTCGGATACGAGCTGGGGGTCGGCATTGGGGAGGATGGAGGGCACGGGGGGAAAAGCAGGGTGATCGAAAGCACGGTCGAAGAGGAGGGTCTTGAGATGGGTCGTCAAGGAGGCAAGGGAGGGGCAAGGTGGAGGGACTGTGGGATGGAGTTCTAGGGGGTGGGGGCAGAACTTGGAATCAATTCCTAGCTGTAAAACCTGAAGCCTTGCAGCTGACTATACAAAGATGGGGTCTTGTAAAAACATTCTGTCCCTGTATTTAAGGTCACAAGGTTAAATTATTTTAAGAAATGACAAGTCATGTGATAGCCTCTTGGTGAATCAGAATTATTACATTCCACAGGTACGCGCACACATCTATCAGCGCCTATGCTGCATTCATGTGATATGTACCGGAATTGTTCAGTTTAAATGAGGATGAAGCAGTGTTGAAGCCTCTGAAAAATATGGTTTCAGGAGTACAGTATTGTGATTTACACTTCAGTAATATAAATGTGAGGCTGATAATTACATTGAGATGCTCCCCTCCCCTATGGTTCCACAGAGCTCTCAGGTTGTCCAGGGGTTTGAGCGGATATTTTATTATTAAAGGGTCAAACACTCAAAATTGATCCTCAGTGTCCTGTTTAACTCTTCCTATTCAAGGCAGAGCTGCACAACATCTTACATTAAATACCAGCTCAGCCCCTCACACACTCGGCTCGTACCGTCACACTTGTGGCACACGCGCACTCACGGAGGCAAAGCGCTGCACACACACTGCACACCGGAGCACACGCAGTGCACAACTGTGCTGCACCAGAGCTCACCCACAGTGTACATCGCTGCACACACACGGCACAGACTTGTCGGGAGGGCCGCCTCTCCCCCTCTCCCCCTCCGACAACACAATTACATTTGTACGCAACACAACACAACACAACACTCACCGTGAAGGGCTCCTCACCCACATTGCCCACAGAGAAGCAGTTGTCTCCCGGGTTGACGGCGCCGGTCAGCACCTGGTGCAGGTTCATGTCGGTGTCGGTGTCTCTGCCCCTGTGGGGCCGGGCCGGGGGGCTGAGCCTGGGCCGGGGGGCCGGCCTGGGCCGGGGGCCGGGCCGGGGGCTGGCGCGGGCCGGGCCTGGGGGCCGGGCCTGGGCCGGGGGGGGTGACCTGGGCCGGGGGGCCGGGCCGGGGGGCTGGCGCTGGGCCGGGGGGCTGAGCCTGGGCCGGGGGGCCGGGCCTGGGCCGGGGGGCCGGGCCGGGGGCCGGGGCCGGGCTGGGCCGGGGGGCCGGGCCTGGGCCCGGGGGGCTGAGCCTGGGCCGGGGGGCTGAGCCCGGGCCGGGGGGGCCGGGCCTGGGCCGGGGGGCTGGCGCTGGGCGGCCTCTCTACCCAGTGCCCCCGCCGGCGGCGGCTCCGCTCATGTCAGAGCGGCTGTGGCTGGTGGAGCGGCGTCACGGGGCGCTTGTGCGGCCTCGGGGCCCAACTGCGGCCTCGCAGTGTGTTTACGTGGCGGTGTGATGTGATGGCGGAGGGAGGGAGGGCTGGTGGTGGTGGTGGCGGCGGCGCCGTCTCTCTCTCTCTGTCACTCTCTCCGCAGCTGTCGCCTCAACAACCTCCGGCCTCCATCTTCCGCCCACTCCAGTCTCGCGAGACTCGCCCACCCACCAGACACAAGTCTCGCGAGATTCGGCCCCGCGCCCCGCCCCCTCCCCCGCCCGGCGCGCTGGTCACGTGCTGCCCGAGAGACTGCCGGGAAAGGGGCGGAGTCAGCGGCAGTGACCGAGCGACAGCGTCACTGAGTGTCTGAGAGAGTGAGTGTGAGACTGAGAGTGAGTGTGTGTGAGAGTGAGTGTGAGACTGAGAGTGAGTGTGTGACTGAGTGTGTGACTGAGAGTGAGTGTGAGACTGAGAGTGAGAGTGTGACTGAGAGTGAGTGTGAGACTGAGAGTGAGTGTGTGACTGAGAGTGAGTGTGTGACTGAGAGTGAGTGTGTGACTGAGAGTGAGAGTGTGACAGAGTGAGTGTGAGACTGAGAGTGAGTGTGTGACAGAGTGAGTGTGTGACTGAGAGTGAGTGTATGACTGAGAGTGAGTGTGTGACTGAGTGAGTGTGAGAGTGAGTGTGTGAGTGTGTGACAGAGTGAGTGTGTGACGGAGAGTGAGTGTGAGACTGAGAGTGAGTGTGTGACTGAGAGTGAGACTGAGAGTGAGTGTGTGACAGAGTGAGTGTGAGTGTGAGACTGAGTGAGTGACTGAGAGTGAGAGTCTGACTGAGAGTGAGTGTGAGACTGAGTGAGAGACTGAGAGTGAGAGTGTGACTGAGAATGAGTGTGTGACTGAGAGTCAGTGTGTGACAGAGTGAGTGTGTGATTGAGAGTGAGTGTGTGACTGAGAGTGAGTGTGTGACTGAGAGTGAGTGTGTGACTGAGAGTGAGTGTGTGACAGAGTGAGTGTGTGACTGAGAGTGAGTGTGTGACTGAGTGAGTGTGTGACTGAGAGTGAGTGTGTGACTGAGAGTGAGTGTGTGATTGAGAGTGGGTGTGTGACTGAGAGTGAGTGTGTGACTGAGAGTGAGTGTGTGACTGAGTGTGTGACTGAGAGTGAGTGTGTGACTGAGTGTGACTGAGAGTGAGTGTGTGACTGAGAGTGAGAGTGTGACTGAGAGTGAGAGTGTGACTGAGAGTGAGTGTGTGACTGAGAGTGAGTGTGTGACGACTGAGAGTGTGACTCCCACACACACCCCCACACACCCAAACACACACTCACACACCCCCACACACACCCCCACACACACACACACCCACACACACACACCACCACCACACACACACACCCCACACACACACACCCCACACACACACACCCCCACACACACACCCCCACACCACAACCGCACCCCACACATCACCCCCCACATACACACACCCCACACACACCCACACACCCAAACACCACACACACACCCCCACACCACCACACACACCCCACCACACACACCCCACACACACACACCCCCACACACCCAAACACACACACACACCCAAACACACACACACCCCCCACACAGGACCCACACCCCCCCACACAGCCCACACCCCCCCCCCAGCCCCCCCACACAGACCCACACACCCCCCCCACACAGCCCCCACACCCCCCCCCCACCCCCCCACACACCCCCCCCACACACCCCCCCCCACACACCCCCCCACACACACCCCCCCCACACACCCACCCACACAGCCCCCCCCCACACAGCCCCCACACCCCCCCCACACACCCCCCCCCCCCCCACACACCACCACCACACACACCCCACACCACACACCCCACACACCCCCCCCCCCCCACACACACCACCCCCCACACCACACCCCCCACACAGCCCCCACACCCCCCCCCACACACCCCCCCCACACAGCCCCACACACACCCCCCACACACCCCCCACACACACACCCCCACACACCCCCCCCACACAGCCCCCCCACACCCCCCCCACACACACCCCCCCCACACACACACACCCCCCCCACACAGCCCCCACACCCCCCCCACACACAGCCCCACACCCCCCACACACACCCCCCCACACCCCCACCACACACCCCCCACCACACAGCCCCCCACACCCCCCCCACACACCCCCCCACACAGACCCACCCCCCCACAACACACACACCCCCCACACAGCCCCCCCCACACAGCCCCACACCCCCCACACACCCCCCCACACAGCCCCCCCCACACAGCCCCCCCCACACAGCCCCACACCCCCCCACACAGCCCCACACACCCCCCACACACACCCCCCCACACAGCCCCCCCCACACAGCCCCACACCCCCCCACACAGCCCCACACACCCCCCAACACAGCCCCCCCCACACAGCCCCCCCACACAGCCCCCCCACACAGCCCCACAGCCCCACACACCCCCCCAACACAGCCCCCCCCACACAGCCCCCCCCACACAGCCCCCCCACACACCCCCCCACACAGCCCCACACACACCCCCCCCACACCACACCCCCCCCACACAGCCCACACACACCCCCCCCCCACACAGCCCCACACCCCCACACACCCCCCCCCACACAGCCCCACACCCTCACACACACACCCCCCACACAGCCCCACACACCCCCCACACACACACCCCCCCACACAGCCCCCCCCACACAGCCCCACACCCCCCCCACACAGCCCCACACACCCCCCAACACAGCCCCCCCCACACAGCCCCCACACCAGCCCCCCCCACACAGCCCCACAGCCCCACACACCCCCCCAACACAGCCCCCCCCACACAGCCCCCCCCACACAGCCCCCCCCACACAGCCCACCCCCCCCCCCACACAGCCCCACACACCCCCCCAACACAGCCCCCCCACACAGCCCCCCCACACAGCCCCCCCACACAGCCCCACACCCCCCACACAGACCCACACACACAGCCCCACCCCCCACACAGCCCCAGCTCCCCCCGCCCAGCACCACAGCCACAACCTGCCTCCGGCCAAACCCTCTCACTGACCGTGTTTAACTCTCACTGTCCGTCGCCGTGTTTCTCCGCCAGATCCTCCTTCTACTCCAAGGTTATGTTGGAGCAAAGGACAACCCTCGGCTTCTCTTTTCCACCACAAACCATCTCCTCCGTCCGCCTTCCCATACCTCATCCATCCTCTCCTCAAACTCCAACTGTGAGGAGATGCTGGACTTCCTCAAATCTAAAATCGAGGGGATATGTTCAGCTCCATCTTCTGGCCCATCTCCTGTCCGATGTCATCAACCTCTCCCTGTCCACCGGTTCACTTCCCACCCCCTAAAAACAGCCGTTATCACCCCCATCCTGAAAAAACCTTCCCTGGATCCATCCCTCCTCTCCAGCCACCGCCCTATCCCTAACCTCCCATTCCTCTCCAAGGTCCTGGAACGAGTTTTCGTGTCCCAGCTCCGCTCCTTTCTCTCTCGCCATTCCCTCTTTGAACCCCTCCAATCCGACTTCTGCGCTGCCCACAGCACGGAAACAGCCCTGGTCAAAGTCTGTAATGACATTCTGAACATCTGTGATCAGGGCTCCCTCTGCCTCCTTGTCCTCCTCGACCTCTCTGCCGCCTTTGACACTGTCGACCACTCCATCCTCATACACCGCCTCTCCTCTTTACTCAATCCTCACGGTCCTGCCCTTGTCTGGATCAAATCCTATCTCTCTCACTGTCTCCACTTTGTTGCCTCTAACGGCTTCTCCTCCAGTCTCCGCACTGTCACGTCTGGCGTCCCCCAGGGCTCTGTCCTTGGCCCTCTCCTCTTTAATATCTACATGCTCCCCCTGGGTGACATAATAATGATAATAATAATAATAATCCTTGCATTTGATATAGCGCTTTTCACGTCTTCTTGACGCCCAAAGCACTTCTCAGAATATACTGTAAAGTGAATTAACTATATTTTTGGGCGATCGCGGCAGCCAATTGCGCACAGCAATGTCCCACAAACAGTCGTAGATTGAAAATGACCAATTTATTATTGTTTTTGGTTTTGGAGGGATTATTATTAGGCGTGTGGAATAAGGAAACTTGCCCAAGGTTTCGCCCTCTGCCTGGAATTGAACTCGGGTCTCTCACTTGCAAAGCGAGTGCTCTAACCACTGAGCTACAGGACTCCTGTAAACAGTTAGTTCACTTTACAGTGTGTTCTGTGAAGTGCTTTGGGACGTCCTCCCGACGTGAAAAGCGCTATATCAAAAATGCAAGGAAAAAAAATGCTACAGGGAGCAGGTGAGGAACCAATTGTAGTTGGCCATGTGGGAAGAAATAACATAGATAGAATAGAAGTAGATAGATAGACGTAGACCAGCGGACCTTCTTGCTAAATTTAGCGCATTAGGAAGGAAGCTAAAGGGAAAGACTTCAATTGTAGTATTATCCGAAGAATTACCTGTACCATGTGCTAGTGAGGAAAGATAGAGGGTAACTAGGCAGACCACTGTGTGGCTAAGGCATTGGTGTAGGGAGTCAGGCATTCGTTTCCTCAAAGAATGGGGCACCTTTTA